TTCAATCCGAACAAAATTTCGGTAGACTTTCTCACAGCTCTATTTTATATATTTAGGAATTTCTATGTTTGTTTTGTTAATGATTAAATCGTTAACCCATATATTCCTCTTTTTGGTGATTGGGTATTTAAATAATTTATGTAATTTTACTTCCTTTTTGTACTTATAATTATTAGCAATTCCTTTGTACGGATTTTCTTTATAATTATGCCGGTGTAATATCTTCCTTAATTGGTACTTTAAATTATTCCATTTTTTAATTTTGCTCCTTATAACTGATTTTATTATTTTCCTTTCGATTTTCCAAATCATGTGCTTTGGTATTATGTTTCTTACAGTCCTTTTTAATTTTAAGGTATTTGGAGTATGTTCTTCTCTTAAGAAGCATCTTAAATAGTTTATGGCGTGCTCCAACATGTCTACATTTTTAGTAAGGGTTACTAACCTGTTTTTGGTTTCCATTTTATTCCAAAATTTCTTGTTGAATTTTCTAATGGTAGCTGTATTACGTATTATATAGGTAAATGTCTCTTCAATCCGAACAAAAATCAATCGAAAGGAAAATAATAAAATCAGTTATAAGGAGCAAAATTAAAAAATGGAATAATTTAAAGTACCAATTAAGGAAGATATTACACCGGCATAATTATAAAGAAAATCCGTACAAAGGAATTGCTAATAATTATAAGTACAAAAAGGAAGTAAAATTACATAAATTATTTAAATACCCAATCACCAAAAAGAGGAATATATGGGTTAACGATTTAATCATTAACAAAACAAACATAGAAATTCCTAAATATATAAAACAATTCCTAGCTCTAGGTATAGACTTTAACATACCTATAGATAAAATAACAATTGATTTAATAGCCAATATAGACAAAAGTATAAAGGATCTACCTATTAAAAAAGANTAGAGCTGTGAGAAAGTCTACCGAAATTTTGTTCGGATTGAAGAGACATTTACCTATATAATAAGTCATGTAGTTTCATTTGTCGCTTTTTTTCCCTTAAGCAAATGTCGGTAACAAGAGATCTCATCCAAACGCCTCGTCTTACTTGTTCTCTTTTCAAAATATGGATCATTCGCTACAGTTTGATCAACGATTTCGGTTATCGTTACCGAACTTTTACTGAGGAAATCTCTATAGAAATTCTTCGGGTTCTTCGTTTGCAGAATCACTATTTTCCAGTTCTACATGAATTCCTTGTTCTGCCAGTTCTTGAAGGTAGTCGTTGATAAGACTCTCATCAGAAACCTGCGGTAACTCCTCAATATCCTGTTCGTCTACATCTCCTAGTCCTGTTGATACAACAGGATTAGATTGACAATTTCGTCAACTTAATGATACAGCGATATGCGCTTCTCGTGAATTCTTGGATACCTTCAGCCATACTTCTTCCACACTCCGTTCATGCATTTATCCGTTAATTCTTGCTAAGCGAAGTCGATATTTCCTATGACATCCATAATGTTATACTTTTTCTAAAACTGCACCAAACTGTAGATTTAAGGAAAGTACAGCGCTATGACGAATTGCCACCTTTTGCTGATTGGTTCGTGTTTGGGAATAATCGTATTATATACGAATCAATGAAATTCCGCGATAAATTTTGAATCAGCGTAAATTTTGAATATTTTTTTCTAGGCTTCGAGCAGACCGCGTTATATTGAATCAGCGTTAATCGAGGAAGCGTTAAGAAAGGTCTTACTGTATCGTAAATTTAAAATAATAAATTACATATGTAACAATTTAGTTTAATAAAAATACTGTAAATATGATTTATTTTAATATTTGTTCAAAAATTTTAAATCCGTTTTACTATATAATTGAATGTAAAATGATCTGTTAAATACAGTAGAGNTCCGAACAACCCCAGTCCCCAATTGATTCGGATAAACGACTCTCTACTGTAAATTACTTCTTTTAATAAAAATCCAGCAATGAGTTGCTTAACTTTCAAGGCAAAATTTAAAACTTCATGTGTGACGCCATCTGTTATGATATTTTATTATTAAAAACTTTATATTTTTCACTATTAGAAAATATCAAAAGGTTTAATTTTGGGGTAGGGATGGGTTTTATAAAAAAAATGATAAATACTAATAACGAGTAAAATCGTCATTAAGTCCGACTGAACTCGAGATGTGACACACGACACCCTCTTTATCTTCTCACCCTTTTGACCTTTAACATCAAAATTTAACAGCACTAATCATCCTTATACGCAAACCTGCCTGCAAAATTTCAGAAATTTTTGACAAAAAGCACAGGAATTATTAAGCTTCAAAGAGGATGAACAAAATCGTCTCCCCATACACACTAACATACATACATAAAGAAAAAAACTTGATTTTTTGCATTTCTCGACGTNGGTCTTACTGTATCGTAAATTTAAAATAATAAATTACATATGTAACAATTTAGTTTAATAAAAATACTGTAAATATGATTTATTTTAATATTTGTTCAAAAATTTTAAATCCGTTTTACTATATAATTGAATGTAAAATGATCTGTTAAATACAGTAGAGCGTCGTTTATCCGAAAGAATTCCAGTTGGCAAATTTTAATTTTCGCTAGTGCTGTGGCGCTGGAATCTTTGGCTATGTCTTGGACTACTCAAATATTTTACGTTTTTGATACTAAATTAACTTCTGAAGTATAATTTTTTATTGTTTTTATATTTTTCAATATATTTATTTTGTTTGTACAAAATAAAAAAATAATTTTTAACGAT